CATCAGAGTGCTGATCAGCAGTTCATGGCCGTACTTAGCAGCAACGTGGAGAGGGGTATTGCCATACTTATCCACACAATCAATTTCCCCACCTGACGGAAATCAGAGTACAGGGAGTAAATCAAAGACCCATTAACAGAAGAGAAAGAGACAGTGACATGATCTTATAATAAAATAAAAATAAATATGAGACAGGACACTCTGTGTTACCATTTTGGATGAGGATCTGAGAGCGTGTAAAGCGTCCGTGAATGGCTGCCATGTGCAGGGGGCTCTTCCCTTCTTTGCTCTGCAGGGGGTAACAATCACATTTCAGGGTAGATCTTATGCATGGGGGGCATTTTTGCCTTTTTAGATAGTGGAGCAGTGAAGATAGACAGAAAAGTAGAGAGCAAGAGAGAAAGAGGGAAGACAGCCCAGACTTAAACCTGGGCCGGTGTACTCTGGCACTAGGATAAAGGCACCTATAGATTTTCGTTTGATAATTTTCTTCAACAAAAATGTGCAGTAATATTCTTATTAAGGCACTGTAAACTAGAAACTGAGAAATCATAAATGGTAAATGAAACCTTGGGACCTGGATTTCGTTTGGTTCTTTTTTTTCTTAATATTTGTATATGTTGTCAGAATGGCCAAAGGATCGAATAATCTGATCAACCCATCTACAACTATTCCAACTCTGACTCTTGCAAAGCTGCCCTAAATAAAAATGTGGAGTTTCACTACTTTCAGAAGCAGTGAAATAAAGTAAACAAGAAGAAGAACCAAAACAGCTACCTGCTGGTTGACATCTGCCCCATTGTTGACCAGCAACTCCAGACAGAGGGCACCGTTGGTGGAGACGGCAGCCAGGTGCAGAGGGGTGTAGCCACACTTGTTGGGTTGGTTAACATTAGCTCCATGGTTCACCAGCTCTGTAGCCACAGCTTCTTGCCCCATGTAGCAAGCCACATGAAGCGCAGTGTTTCCAAAGCCATTGGGCTCATCAATCTGACAATAAAACAGAACAAAACGACATCAGAATGTGCCAAAAGCCTGAAAAATAAATAAAGTGCACCCTGAGCTGCTCTCAGACGCTCACAATTTATAAACCAGACATGAGGGAAGACTACTTTGGCTTTTCTAAAGGTAAATATTTCTTGCATAGTTACTCACATCTGCCCCCATCCTAAGCAGGTACTTTACAATTTCAATGTGACCACTTGCAGCAGCAGCATGGAGAGGTGTGTAGCCCTGTTTGTCCTTGCAGCTCTTGTCAGCACTGCGCGACACCAGTAACTTCACAACCTCTAGATGCCCTGTGGATAATACAAGAAAGACACAATTCATTACAAGTTCTACTTATTTCAACAGATTAAAAGCCCAGGCCGGCACTTGTCATCATTCCTGTAAGTGCTATTTGGCAAGAAAAGTAAAACTTGCTTACCCAGGTAAGCAGCACAGTGGATAGGCTGTCTCTCCTTCTTATCGATGGCACTCAGGTTGGACCCTTTGTTCAGCAGCAGCTTAACCATCTGCAAGACAAATTGAAGGAACTTTATTGCAAAGAAAACACTACGTCCTTCAAAAACAAAGCAAATCACTTAAGCCTCACCTCCTGGAAACCACTCTGCGCCGCATGGTGCAGGGCAGTCCTGCCACTGCGATCTGCCATGTTCACGTTGCTCAGCTGGGTCAGCAGGGCCTCTGCGCAGCGCGAGGCACGGTTGGCAGCAGCCACATGCAGAGGCGTCTGCCAGAACTTGTCACGTGCATTTGCGTCAGCTCCGCGCCTCAGCAGCAGACCCACTGCCCTCTGGGAAGAGGGAAGCAATCACCACAGCTTAAGGTGCATATCACATCTGCAGCTTCCCACATTTAATTTAGTGCAGTTCATGAGTGTGTAAGTCTAAATAAGAATTATAATCTCTGTAAATTAATACATAAAAGACTTAGATGATGAGGTCATCTGACTGGGAAATCATCAGTCTTAAACAAAAAAAAGGAAATACATTGCTTACGTCATTCCTGGAAGCAGCTGCCCTGTGCAAGGGGGTCAACCATATATGGTCTTTAGCATTTACACTGGCACCTGTGATACAGAAACAGAAACACTATTACATACTATATTACATAGTAGATTTTAATTATATTTCAGGTGATACAGAGGTCGAGTGAACCAAGAATGAGCAAGCTTATTTTTGTGGAACAATGATCAGGTGTTAGGATTACTTGCTAACAGAGGGGACCAATACTTAATGCACAGATAGATGGACGCAATTCAGTCACCTGATTCAATGAGGAGGTCCATTATATGGACGTCTCCCACACAGGCAGCAGCATGAAGTGGCGTACGACGCTCTTGGTCCTGATATGCGGGGGGAAAAAATTAAAAGGTATTTTTTTGGGGGTAACGTCCTTCAAAATCATGATCATGGTAACTGAATCTGCTTCATACCAGTGCATTGACATCCTCCTTTTTGTGCAATAATAGTTGAACTTCTTCAGCATTGCGACTGAAGATGGCCTGGACCAGAGGAGGCTGCAATACAGGAACATCAGTCAAATTACCGCAAAAAATAACGTTGCAAAAAATTACGTGCAGCCGGAGCGCTGACTCTTATACGACCATCACACATCATCTACGTCTCATCTGAGGAGGTTAAACCATCGTTAAAGCCGTCAACTGCGCAGTGGAGAGGTTAAATGTACTCTCGTGACATTAAATGTTTCACTGAATACTTTTACTGTGTGTAACTGAATGGGTTTCTTGTTTGCTTCCAGCAGATACACCAAGCCTTTGGCTGAGGCCTATAGGCCATTTTTACTTACGTCAGCTAGCCAAATGGCTTCTGTTAGCTAATTCTGCAACAGAGCTGGCCCTGACCCAGACCAGGGCCTAAACTACACCATCAAAAAAATAAAAAAATAAAACAGAAAAACCCTCACAGATTAACATTTAAAAGACGAAGATTGCTAATCTTTTCAAATAATACCATTACCATGCGAATATCCGGCTAAATATGCATGCACCCGCCGCGAGCTAATAATGAAAGCAAGCCGTTCGGCGGAGAAGACGTAGTATGTTGCGCACAAGAGCAGAGTCTCTCCCAGCAAATAGACTGCGCCACAGCACAAATTCGGAGCGCTTTCTTCCAGCGTACCTGGTCTGCAATATTGAGTACTCCCATCTCCCAAACTCAGCCAGGACGGAGCTCCTTCATGAGGATAAAACTTCGAGGTATATTGTGGTGCGCTACTGTGTCCTCTTCTTAGACTACACCCATAGCTGATTGCAAACAGAAATACGGTCTCGGTCTGTCACTGTTGTTGTCTGTATCCAGTGTCTGGTCTGCTGATACTGGCTACGACTGTGCGGGTCCGCCTACAGGCGTGGCGGTCTGTTTTCGTCTCCTCGGGTAAAATGGCGACACCGTGCGGCAAAAGAACGGTAAAACAGCCCGGCGGTGTGACGTCTGTGGCATGGAAACTTGATTCTGCCACCGAAAAAAAATGTTTTTAAACTTGGAACCTACAAGTTAAAATTTCGGTTAACTTATTCAGTAAGTCGAAATTTCGACTTAGCTCTGCATGACAAAAGAAAAAAAAAATCCAACCACTGAAAAACAAAAAAGTTCCACTAATTTCAGGTTATTTCAAACTTTTGACTTAAGAACTCAAAATTTAAAGTAAATTTCTCAATTGTGAGTTATTTTGAAATAGTAGCCAACTCTTTATGATAAATAAATAACCTGACATTTTGAGATATTATCCCAAAATTTTGAATTATGGATGGTAAAAGTGTTCTATTTTGGGGGGTTTGGGGGATTTTTTATTCAACGGTTGAAGAAAACCCCCCAAAACACCATCTGTGGTGGTTACAGGTTAAATACAATAACACTTTATCGCATTGATTAGTCATGTATTCCCTTTTCTATCACTATAACTTAAAACATTAATTCCATCATATTGTTCTACCCGCTAACTGGCTTTTGGCTGTCACTGCAGAGCCATATCCATGCAAATCTCCATTTCAGTTAAAGGGAGTTCTACTTTTTGTAAAACTAGAGCCAATAAAAAGTAAGACATTTCCATTTCCATGTGTGAGAGTGAAACTGAAGTGAAAAATCACAGATAAAAAAAAGTAATGTAGGCCTTGGGTGTAATAATTAAGATCAAGTTAAATATCCAGATTTGCTGGATATTCGTCCCCTATAACACCAGTTACTGTTGTGGAACAAAGTGTTCTTTAGTAATAAATGATCCACTGCTACTTTTTTTTTCATGAGTTGTCACTCTGTTTTTATTCTTTTTATTTGTTATAGTGAGTTGATAAAGCGACAGCAAAAAAAGAAAAAGAAAAAAAGGCTACAATGGTAAACAGTAAAATAAGCCTAGAAATTATTGACTGTTATTTTTTATTTAGCTTGAGGACCTTTGTTTTTAAACGTGATCTATCTCCCCTCTGTTATCGTTCTCGCCTTCACTGCCTCTGTTCCTTGCAGCTTCACTGTTACTGTCTCTATCGCATTCACACACTGTGTTCTGTCTTCTACTGACTTTCATTCTCTCCAGTGCTACTCTCCATCCGCTTCCTACTCAGACTACAGATGTCTTCCACAAACAACATATTCCACGGAAGACTGGAGATTCCTCCCTGACCTCATCTGTCAACCTGTCCATCACCAATGCAAAAAAGAAAGATCTCAGAACCCCACCCCCACCTTCATCCCATCTGCCACTCCTACCACACACAACAAACAAACACTTGAACCCTGTTTATACAGTCTCACGGCATTTTGTTCAGGATATTTAAATATATATAATATATATATATATTCATATATATATATTTTAGTATAGTTTAGTATAGTATAGTTTAGTAT